AAAAAAAAAAAAAAAAAAAAAAAAAAAAAAAACAGGAGTTGAACTGCTCTTAGACTGCCTCTTCCTCTGTTATTTTTTTACCTCTTCGTTTTGAAGATCACACTTTTGAACACCATTCTGTACCAAATCACACGAATAAGAAAAAGGTTAAGCCACACAAACAAAAGTTTCACAGGTTTCAGCTTTACCAAAGAAAAGCTGATATATGCAGTAAAAATTAAAACAAAATTGGGCCGTTTATGATACCTCAGACATTTCCATAATGAAATCGTGAGCATTAGCTAGCTTAGCAGCTTCTACTACCTCCTCGTCACTAACATTTTCTAGTCCGTAAACTATATTTTCCTTGACCGAAACATTGAACAGAATCGGTTCTTGACCAACGAGCGCAATATGAGAACGTAGATGTTTTACGTTAATAGAACGAGAGCTTGTTTCATCAAAGAACTGAAAAAAAATTTAGGTTATAATATTAATTGAACACAGGTGCTATACGCGGGTATTGACTCATTCAGCAAAATTCGAATCATATCAGGCTTTCAACATTCAAACCCATAAAATTTTGTAATTTTGCAAGAAATGAGGTTTTTACAATTTGACCATCATTTGGATCATAGAAGCGTTCTACTAGCTGGATCACAGTGGACTTCCCGCAACCGCTCGGTCCAACGATTGCAACTGTTTTTCCTTTCAGCGCCTCGATATTTAAACCATTAAGTACCATTCTTTTTTTGTTCACCGGATAAGAAAAATAGAGCTTTTGAATATGTACATCACCACTTACATCCTTAATGAAGAATCAGATAGAATAAAAAGAATCACTTTTTTCTGCTAATTTTTGTTAATTATGTTATAGATTTAGGAGCACAGTGACGTAACGCACAACAGCATATCGTTAATGTCATAAAAATACAACAATGACTACTTCGTTCTGGTTTATAAGCACAAAAACTATTGACCATTACCGGTTTTGCGCCACTCTCAGACAGACTATCTATTTTTGGTTGCTCCCGAAGCATGGAAAATATTAAGCCTGCACTGAATCTGGCTCTAACATACTCCGGAAAGTAAGCACCAAATGCCAGCAAACTCATAGAAGCAGTGTTCAATGCTTCAATAACCCTAAATTTAAGTGATGTAGAATCTTTGAATCTTATGGAAAAAGAATGACCTCAACCTTACGTGAAAAAGCGGTTTACACTGCAACAAAACTTGGATGAAAACCGAAAGACTGCATGAAGCTTACTGAAACACAGTGTATGGAGTAGAATTTTTTGTCTTAACAAGCCATATTCCAAATCGATAAGCGCATGCAAAGTTTATAAATACAAACGACATATGCAAAGCATAAGTAAAAGCCTGAATAATTCCTCGGAATAGTGTTCTATTATGTACAGGATGCATTAGATTCTCAAACTCCTCGTAAAAGTGCTTTTCGCGGGTCAAATATTGCACCGTTTTATGGTTTTGAATAGCTTCTGTTGAAAGCTGAAAGTTGTCGGCTTAATGTTTACTTTTTACTAATTGTTAGAGAATTTTCAACAATAAGAATAAGAGAATTTTTGCTAATGAAGAGTTAACAAAACTTACTCTAGACGGTTCTTCAGCCAATTTTTGATCTTTGTTCGTACGCACTTTAAGATATTGAGCAGAGAGAGTTTGAAATAAAATCAAAGCAACGGCAGTTAGAATTCCAATTGGAGCCATTTTCGGTCCGTAGGAAAACGCAATGATGATGCCGGAAATCAAAGACGATATACACTGCAAGACATCTGAGAGCCTGTAATTCAAAGTAGGATTAGTCTGCTGGAACTTCCGCACACTCTAAGCTCGCATTCTATACATCCGTTAAAACCAAGTGGATTGTAGAGATTGCATAATGTTTTGATTGTTTCCCAGAAAAGTTTCAAAAGGCAAAAAATCCACAATTTTCAACCGTATTTTTCAAATTTCCTGTATGAAGTATACGCGAATCAGATAAACACGAAAGTAAGAACTGATCACGAACTGTTATTTAATAATTCAATCTATCTATTCAAAGCATTAGGGTTCAACGAGCAGAAGCCTTATCTCTTGGCCTCAGCCTTCCCCTCCCAACTGAAACAAAAAATCCAAGTTAAAAATTCATATGTTACAATCTTAGCAAACAATATTAGGGGTTATTTTTGGTTTTTGCCAATATTTAACCAAAAGAATAGAAAAAATAATTCAAAACTATCTTGAACTTTTATGTGCTTCTTTCGCAGTAATTTTTTATTGTCTGAGCTGTAGATTCCGGGTTTAATTTGAGTATATTTAATAAATAAAATACAGAAGTTACGGTTGAAAAAAGTTAAGCTATTTTATTCCGAAAGCCTTTTCCAAAGAAATTGTCAAAAAAATGCGCAGTCTTTACGCGCATCGCATTTCAGTAAAATTTCACTTGGTCACCCACAGCCTGCAAGCCGTAAATAAGAATATATATCTCAAAGTTTGCATAACAGATTTTCCGCACACTTCAAAAAAAGAAATCGTGAAAAAGATGTACTTAGTTAAGGCAGCAATGCTGTCAATTACCTCCACAAGATGAAAAAAGATACATAAAAGTGTTGTGAAGGAAAAAAGAAAGCGTTGTAAATGCAAACCTTTGATCTATAGCTGCTCGAATGTTTGGAGCATCAGTTGCAAGTCGAGTCGTAAGCTTTCCTGACGCGTGGTCTAACGAATCAAAGTATTCGCCATCCTGAACTTTTGGAATTTTTAAAAGAAAGGGCCTTTAGAAAAGGGTTCTGCTGTAAAACACAATAAACAGTGTCAATAACAAATTCAAAACATTAGTTTTTCCAAAGTTACTCTAGAGAAATGGCGGCGGTTAGCAACGAGATGACAGTCACAGCGCAAAAGAAGCAAAGACAATAAATTTCTTGATGATTCCAAGAACTTGATTACCTATCAAAGTAACGCCTAGTCAACCCTATCTTTTTTTTGCAGCATAGTGCTATGACTGTCCGTATATGCTCTATTTAAGACTTGTTAGGAGAGCACTAAATGGAGGGTGACGACCAACTCGATGCGGATAAAACGCATCCACATATTTAAAATTGCAATAGCTTGCAAACGTATGTTTCGGGACCCTCAGAAACTGTTGCGATACAGCATTGCGCGCTTATGATTCTTGAGATATCTTGCTCAATTCATACAGAAACTTGCATTACCGGTGTGCAATTAGCTTCTGAGAAGTTTTAAAATTGGCTTACAAAGTATTTCTACGCAGCACTCAAAAAAATGTGTACAAAAATGAAGAGCAAATATGAATACGCAAGTTTAAAACAAAGTGAGGCGAAACAAAATAAAAAGCTATACAAGTTTAGCGCAAATAATTGGAAAAGTTTCTACGTGCTCGTAATGAATAGAACCCATCAGTTTTTTGCTGCTTTATATATTTTATTTATTACATCTCTTAACGACTGACTCACTGACTCACCTGTCGCATAATATGACTGAATAGTGTAAGCCGAAGTCTTCTCGTCAAACGTTCGCCAGCTGTAGTAAACAAAAACCCTCCTACAAAAGTTGAAATACCAGCCATAATTCCCAACAAAGCAAAGTAAACTGCATTCTGTCTTGCACCGTGCATTATTTCGTTCCTGTCCGTCTTTGCGAGTGTCTAAGAAAAACAATCACTCGCCTTCCGTATATCAAAAAAAACTGTGTTACTTGAGCAACAACGCTTTAAACCTTATGAAGACCAGTAACTGTAAAGCCATTTTTTTCTCCCTTTAGAATATATTTAACAATTCAATGAAGATAAACCTTGAACATAGCACCATAAATAACAGAAAATATTGGGAAAACAACTCCTTTGGCCAAAGAGCTTATCAGCGCAATTATCAAAAGAAGCCATTCTTTATCAGCAAATCGTATTATCTCAAACAGTCCTGACGGTTCTACCTTACTTTCTGCGCATTCTTCCTGAAATAATAGAGTAAAACTTTGTAAACGACGTTTTCAGTGCAAACAACAAATACTCGCAGAAATAACCTTAAGCTCAGCAACTGCTCGCTCATTAGCAGATGCGCTGGTTAAAGATCTTTTAATGCGCCGGCTTAATCGAGAAGAGTTTGACGAAGTGGACGAAACTGTACGAGAGATACGTCCTGCACGTATTACTTCCATATCTTCTGAAAATTCAAATAATTCAATTTTCAAAGATCCACTCAGCGCTGTATAATTTATGAGAATAATAATTCTGAATGAAAATTTTTATCAGAACATTTTAAAAATTATATTTTCAGCATATACCTTGTTCACGTTCTTCTCTAGATCTTTCTTCCCTTCTGACCTTTTCAATTTCCTGAGCTCTTACCAATTGGTAGTAAACGCCTTGGCTTTCAATGAGTTCCCTGTGAGTTCCTATAATCTCGAGGTACAGTAAGCTGTACAAATGGAGTGACATCTATCCTGCTACTTCGGAATTATATTACTGTCGCAAAAAAAGCTTGCTGAACCTGTTTCAACGATTCTGCCATGGTCAAAAACAATGATGTTATCAGAGTTTCGGATTGTAGACAGCCTATGAGCAATAGTTATTGTAGTACGTCCTGCACTAGCCTGAAATAAAGAAGAAAAAAATTGAGATAACACTCGAAAACTAATAATAAAGAATGTGCACAGCTGAGAAATCAAGATTTTCCGTTCCCAGTCCTTAAATGCATCCGTCTCCAAATGTGTCTTTACTGTTTTCGTAAATCTAATAACAGTTACTTTGATTTTTTTTTAAAAAAGATTAACTTCTACATAGAGTCTTTATAAAATGTTTCTCGTTTTCATAAAAATGTTGCGCATTAATAATACACCTTTTCCAGGGCGTGTTGGACAATCTGTTCACTTTCTGTGTCCAGAGCGCTAGTTGCCTCATCCAGCAGAAGTATTTTAGGATCTCTAGCAAGAGCCCGCGCTATAGCGATACGCTGTTTCTGGCCGCCAGAAAGCTGTACCCCTCCTTCACCAATTCTTGTGTCGTAACCCTGGTAAAAAAATACTGTTTTTTCAGTATAAAAGAGTCTCTGCAGAAGATTTTAGAAGACCGTTTAAATAAGATATAATCAAGGTTAAAAAGTTTAGTCATTTGGACGACATACAGTATACCTGAGGAAGATCTGAAATAAAATTATGAGCATTTGCCATCCTACAAACTTTTTCCATCTCCTCATAAGTCATGTCTTCTTTACCTACAACAGTAGAAAATAAATTAAAAATTGACAGAAAAAGTACTCCATTAAAACTTGAAAAGATACTTTTCTTCAATGTATGGTAATTAGACATAAAATAACCTAATCTTAAATTCTCAGCTATGGTTGCACCGAAAAGAACAGGCTCCTGTGATACGACACCAATTACTTTCCTAAGCCAAGAAATATTAAGGTTTTCAAGAGGAACCCCATCTATTTCAATCTAAACAATTATAGATATTTGTATATGTACAGCTATATAGTAAGTTGCATAAAAAAACTAAGCTCCCGCTCACAATTCCGCTTTCCACGTTGTAATAGCGTAGAAGAAGACCCACTAGAGTTGATTTACCGCATCCGCTGTGGCCCACAAGTGCAACTGATTTGCCACAAGGTACCTTCAAACTTAATTCAGCTATAAAAAGCATTTTTGAAAATAACTCTAATTCTGAAAACAACTTTTACGCTTAGTCTCGAAATTTGGCAAGAAAAAACACTTTTACTTTAAAGTTGACGTCTTCCAAGACCTTGATATCTGGCCGTGTCGGGTATCTAAAGTGTATTCCTTTAAACTCAATATCTCCTTTTGGAGACTCAATCTTTCCCCCTTTAGGACTTTGGCAGTCTATTTCTGGTTTCTAAAAAATGTGAAAATTAGAAAGGTATTCTGGTAAAAAAACTGAATTACTGAACCCTACAAAAAACAAACTTCTGAAAAATGAAAAAATGCGATGCCGTTTAACGTCAGATACTAAGCGTGCAAAAGTTACAGGTCATTTTCACTTTTAAAAATCGATCGAAAGTTTGTCTTTAGACATTTAACAGTTCAGTGAACAGCTGATTAGAGCTGATTAGAGCTAGGGTTCTTGCAAATCTGTTCCAGAACTGTGAACAATCTGCCCCGGATTCAGCGTGGGAAAAAAACTCATCTTTTCACGATGCCATTACAGTACCTTCAATTTGAAGGTGCAGAAACACAGGAAATGATAAGCAGGGTAAAAACTTCAATCTCACCCCATTTTTGCATAAGCAGAATTCTAGGAAAAACAATAGATCGATAAGCTTTTTTGAAATTAAAAAGTATTTAATTTTTAAAGCAAAAAACCTCATATTTTGAAAATTAAATACATTTTGCAGCGAAAACTGAGATTGATCCATTAGAACTTTTGTTTTCGTAGCAATGTTTTAAATCAAGAATGTTTAACTACGGCAACAAAAAAATTAAAATTTACAAAGTTTTGTGATGGATTTGTGATTCAGAGACCAAAAAGGCAGATAAATGCTAGACTAAAAATTTGAACTGCATTTTTAGAAAGCAATCACTTTCTTAACAAAAAGCAAGTTTTAAATAACTTGGCTGGTACGGTAAGATACGAGATAATGCAGAAGAAAATGTGATTAAGACGTCAAAACGTACTCTATTAAAAAAACTTTAGACCTTCCATATAAGAAACAAAACAGAATTTTCACTGGAACGGTAGCTCAAAGTTTGAAGAAGAGAAGCATGTCGTCAAATATGAGCTAAATAAATTCTCAATTTGAAGAGAGTACTTTAGAACATGCTGAATAAGCAACAAGCATTATTATTAATCTATTTTTTGATGTTTCTTCTCACTGAGAAATAGAGTCCACTGCATCTCCTTAGTTTTAAAAGTCCTAGCTTTTTTTTATTGATAAAATAGAATTTCACTCTAAATACCTTTCTTTCCCAAACTATTTTCTTATAAAACTCAACATGCACAAGGTAGAAGCGTTAGAAAAAAACAGAGTATCAAGAAAACCTATGCTACCAGTACATCATTCTTTTAACAAGATTCCTCTTGATTTTGTATAACGAAACTATGTCATATAGAGTGGCAATGTTCGAAAAAGATCTGAGAAGTCAGCAGAAAAAATTATGAGAATTGGAAATTGTGACCCATATACATACTCGCTCTTTTACTGACATGCCTGATTGTAAATATATTCTCATTTATAAATAAAGATAAACCAGCTACGAGATAGAATCCCGTTTGGCTAGATTAAAAGAATTTTTTAAAATGTATAAAACTAACGCGATCAATAATGGAAAAGATATTTGAAGCCGCATTTCTAGCCGCCATGATCACACCAAGTTGCGGAGCAGCTTGGCCTATAGATATGGTTCCAATCATAACTGCCCAGAAAGTCGAAAATACGTCACCCGCAGTAATTTCTTTGTCGACATACAGTTTCGTGCCAAACCTGGAAATCATAGCAATCAGTAAAAAATTTTCTAGAGTGCTGCTTAGATGAACCCGACTACCGTTTAGAAACCACTATTAAAAATAACTTAGACTTGTACACTACAAAAAAAAGAGGTAGTAACTAGTTTAATTCGATGTCATTTTAGTTGAAAAATTTTATTTTTCCTTTGTTGATACCAAAAAAACTGACCAAAACGCTATGCCCATAGCGACGAATATAAAAATAAACACGAGGGCAGTTGCCACTGCAACAAAAAATCCTTTTTTTATGCCGTGTCTCTGCGCCTCCTTGAGCCTGTAGCTGTATCTAAAAAAGACGAGATTCTTAAAAGTAAAAACGATGTACAAAATAAAAGTGAACGTTACAAGTACTTCTCACCTTTCTATCTCTTGCTTCTGTCCGTTGCAGCTTATGACAGTCCGAATTCCTGAGACTGCCTCTTCTGCAGATGCACCAGCCTCTTCGTAAAGTTGCATCTCCAGTTTGACACTGGTATTAATAAACTAAAATTATAATGGTCTTGCAGTTTCAACAGAGAAACTTAGTTACGTACAACTGGCAAAGATTTTAAAAGATACAGCCAGAATTAAGATCAGAGCACCAACATTCGGGCAAAAATTTCTAGTATCATAAATTCCATTTTAGTTTTTATTAAGTGGAGAATAACACGCAACTGTTTTTTCAAAGTGTAACTGAAGGTGATATTGTGGTTTTGCTTCATAGCTTTAATTTGATTTTTCGCGCATAACCTCGAAAGTTTAATCACCACAGAGCTTTTCTAGTAATAAGCACTGGCTACATCACAGTTTACACAAACATGTTGCTAAATGTAGTAGAGTAACTAAAGAGTAATTAACGTTGTGCGTATAGAAGGAAAAAGCTGCAAATAATTTACGGCCAGAGAAGGGATTAGTAACTCCTGTTAAGTGACGATAAATATAATTGACAAATGAAACTGGAAGACTTACTTTGACGAGAAATGAAATTACTCCCGCAATAAGTGGAATAAATGCCATCATAACCAACGTCATTTTCCAACTGTAATTGTAACAGTTAATACTTTCGCAATAACTTGGGCATTCAGTTCCACTAAAGCCTTTCCAAGGGTAGACTACAAAAGCCTTCATAATAAAGAAAACTATGCCTATTTAGGATTATTAAAATATCTGCTGTATTCCACCTGACGTATCGCCAACTTAAGTCACAAACAAAGAACTTTGATAATGTTCCGCGTGAGCGGTGCAAATAAGTAAAAGTCTAATTACACCAAAGAGGGAGGATGATGAAAAAACGAAAAAGAAATCAAAACTGAAAGGTTGCGGCAATACGATGAAACTATTTGCAAAATAAATAACTGCATTAAATATGTAAATGCTTACGTATTTTTTATGAATGTCATTCATGCGAATGTTTTCTAGTCGGTGTAGAAAAGGAAAAATAAATTTGGACGACTGCAGGCCCTTCTTAAAAGATAGGAAAAAATGGTTGTACTAAGCGAAAAAGCGGGCAAGAGGACCAATAGTTTCCAAGAATGTCGGAGGAACAGAAAAATCCCAAAAAATACTGTTTGTCTTCAATTTTGCTATTTCCAGTCTTCTCACTATATAATTAATCCAAACTTCATCTTTTTTGTTATCACTTAGAAATGTTAATAACCAGTCACGTTAAGAATATAAATTTCCGTTGTAAAAACTGACTACTAAATGTACAATTCTTTGCTAAGTAATCGTACTGATAACCAACGCTGGTTGAGTGGAATCTCAGTAGAAAATCTTTTAATGGAACTCAAGTAATGATTCCAAAAACCACTGCAATCGCTCTTAGAAATTTTATCTCCTCCTATATTTTTTATTTAAACTTTTTGTAAAGTTCCAAAAAATTCTATGCAGATTTCAAATAACTTTGCTTGAAAGGTTCCAATTTATACGGAGAAAAAACCTTCCTCTGCTCTATTACATTATCACCAAGATAATTCTTTAAAAGGGCACAAATCTCTGCAAACATACAAACTAAAACTGGCAGCTTGAAAAGCAGTAGTGAAGAAATACACAGATTTTTCAAAGGCGAGGAAAAATGCAGTACATTATAAACGCGAAGAAAAAAAAGTTGAGGAAGCAATATTTGTTTAAAAAGGTAGTCGTCCTGAGGTTAAAAAATATCATCTAACGGTAGCAGAAAAAAGTCGTATTTCAGTTCCCGCTATTGCCATCAAACTAAAAACAGGTCTGGATGTAGATGATAATGTTATTTGGCTATCTCTTCTTAAATACTAAGCTAACGTAGACTGTCTGACCTATTTGCGAGTTCTGAGAGAAAGAAAGAAAAAATACTGAGACCTCAAAGCTAAAAAATTACTATCCGTTGAGAGAACTCGAGGAGAAGAGAGGTATGAAAGAGGAAACGGAACAGCGAACAACCTCAGTATTTAAGAAGATCGTCCCTTCTCCCGAATTCTTGGAAGGAAGAGGCTGTGCTTCCCCTTGTGAGCTTCCACAAGCAGGAAGAACAAGCACCTGAAAGCAGATGCCGAGTCTTTCCCTCCACGCTTGTTTTGATCTTACAAAGAAGTCATCAGGTTATTCAGATTTTGGGGAAAAAAGTACGATAAAAAGACGATGTGCCTGGGCCGCTAGCACACACGCTTCATCCATTCGCTAACAGTTTTCAAACCTCAAACGCTGCTTTCGGCATAATCTTCTCAGTTTAAGCGATGTGAAGCCAGTTTACTGATGTACCATATTAAGCTATGTAGAGCTTATTTTAAAATAAGAAAGCTATGTTATGTAGTGTTCTGAACACAATCTTCTGTGGAACCTTACTCTTGTTTCAACAAGATTTCAACAGGGCAGTTTATCGCTTTCCTACAAGAGGTCTGCGGCGCAAAATTACCTCTAAATAAGTATTTTACCCTGAAAATACAGAACTAAAAACTAAATAGATCCATTCTAACAATGGCGCAAAATTCTGCATTATTTCGCATCTTCCCTCCCCGTCTGAACTACTCTTAGTTAAGATTTCTTTACTTTTGTATAAAACCAAAGAAGTTTTTTCGTTGCCCATTAACATCTTCGGGAGTAGTAGCATCGTACAAGTACTTTATGCACCCGTATAAACTGTTGATGCTTTATCTGAACATTTATCTCTGTTCCAACTTCTCTAGATTTTTTCTAAAATCCGCCTTTCAACCTTCACGCCAGGATTCTTCTACTGTACAAAGATTCCCTTGCCAACTCTTCGCGCTCATAAAGGAGCCGTTACAGTCAATAAGTAGAAAAAGTTGACTACCCCAGCAATACAAAAGATATTAAAAGACTGCAGGCAACAAACCTTTGGCAAAAGGCCACTGTCAATCCCCCAATAAATGTTGCTACACACGAACATAAAATTCCAAGCTTGTCTCCAGAACCGTCTTTTATCCTGTCTATTCCGCTGAAGCAGAGTAATCTTAACAAGTGGATTATGTAGAAGTTTTTACAAGCAAAAAATAAGTGTTTTTTTGCGGTTGAAGTGAGGTAAATTTTTGCTTACTCGGTCATTTTTGTGGTCAATTCGCCAACTTCATTTTTATCGAACCAACCCATATTCTGCCGTAGTACCGCAGCAAAATAGTATTTTCTTATCTTGTGAATTTGCCTCTCGCAAACAGTGTGCCAACAAGACATCTATAGAAGAAGCTCACTTGTCTAATAAGCATAAGCATAAGTTCTAAAAAAGCCTATGAGCTGTTACACCTTCAAGGCTTTTTTTCTCTTTTGTATGATTATAACTTTATTTCGTTCTATAAAAAAGTCTTCAAATTTTCAGGTTTTAGAAACCAGTCTTTTGCAGTTCTATTTTAAAATAGCAGACCGAGATGAATCCCAGGAAGAATACGCCTAATCCGTATCCAGTGTACTCGTAAATCGCGTTCATTGCATTATGATAAAATTCAGGATAGTCAAATACATCCTGATCCCATTGTGCTTGGCCGACAATCAGAGCATTGGTGAGACCTTTGAAAATAACAGAAGACACTGAGTTTAGTGCTCCCTGAGCTACTGAAAAAACGATAGCGATGGACAGCAGGACGTAATCAAATGTTGTCGCGTAGCGGTACTGAAATGATAACGATGACACTTCTAGCATTTCTTATTTGTAATATAACTAACAGAAACTAGGGCTCTGGCGGATCAAGAGAAGAGCTTGATTCCTTTTTCTTTTGTGCTCATAAACGTTAAAATCACTGAGATAAAGGCTTTTACGTCAATAAAAAAAATCTGTCGAAAATTATAAAAATCAATTATTATTTACAGTTTGTAAAAACAACCTACAATTTCATATATCTTAATCATTCTAATAGGTTCATCAGCTGTAGTATCACTGTTTTTATCGACTTTGTCACTGGCAGCGACTTTGCTAAAAAACAAGATTACTGGTGCATTTTTTTTTTGTTTGCTTCTAGTTACTGTGAAGAAAGAAAAGAGAAAAAATTTTTACAATTCCTCACTTAAGGTCAGCTAAGGTTTCCGGTTCAATTGCTCTTTCTGACCATTTCCGAGGTTTATTTAAACTGTTGTTACGTTCATCCATTTTCTATGGCTAAAATAGGACACTTTAAAATCTGTTTTAGAGGAACGGTAAAAATTATTTACAATAAACAGCGAGTGTTTTCGGAGTATATTCTCAAAAAAGTCATTAAATGGTTTTGAAGATACGCTTTCCTATTACTGGAACTTTTTGTCTCTACAGTAGTTAAATTATCAAGAATTTCAGATGTTTGTAATAAGGGATTAAAAGCGTTTCAAATGTAATAGTAGAGCAAGGGAGTAGAAAAACAGTTTAATACTGCTAAGGGTTTGCCTTTTTTGAAAGGCGCCATATAGCTTCGTGTCCTTTGATAAACAAACCAAAGGGCGCATGCTCTAAATACGGAGTTAATTACTTATTTTGATTGCACGGCTGCCGTCAGTAACACAGAAACCAGAAACCTCAATTTTTTAGGATTACATAATAAAATTATTATCAGTATGTCATAAATTTTCACTACAAACCATAATTTCACTACAAAATGTTTGACACAATTTGTAGTTAAGAAAGCTTCTTGCAACCTTTCTTGATTTCGTTGGTTCTCTGTGCTCGAAAATGTCAAGGGACAAAAATAAATTCACAGGTTACGCTGTTTTAAATACGCTGTTTTAAAATTTAGTCTATTGCCGTTTCTTCCACACAAATTGTGAATGACATTACCACGCTGAAGGAAACAGCTTATTCAGCTTGTTTTTTTTTCTTGTTCCAAAAACACACAAAATGTCATGTGTCAACTGCTGCAACAAAAACTACAGTTTGTTTGTTATGATTTTTTGTCGAATAGATAAAACTGCTAAGCAAGCGTAAAAATTTTGAAATTTCATCAGTATGTTTCACCTAAATATTTGACGACTTTGTTAAATTACCAAAAAAATAGTTCCGGTTATACTTTTTTTATCTCATAACCTTATTCCGCAAGTCTACACTTTAGAAAGCATACCATTCTAAACAAATTTTATGAAGTAACTGTCAAGGTGAATAAACAATTGTAATGTATAGTTTTATTACCGAAAACCAAAACGTCAACTTTGTTTTTCATCGTTCCAGCAAGTTTTTTGCATAAAATGTTTGCTGCACAAAAAACTTCATTAGCGTTGTATTCTAATTAGTGTTAAAACAACATATATTAATCATTATAAATAATTTTTAGGGAAAAAAAGGTGGAAAAAAATGGCTAATCTTTAAAAAATGATAACGTCAAATACTGCCGAAATTTAAAGTCAGTAACAATTTTAATCTTTTTTTATTTTCTAGACTTTATAACGATTAAGCATAAAAACAAAGCAAAAGCTAGAAACGTAAGAACTTACGCTTTAGTCGCAAAACCTAACGAGAAAAATAACCTGTATGCTGGTCAAAGTATCTTGTTTCAATTATGACAATTCCAAGCTGGTTCTCATTAACACCAGCAGCGTTTGTGGTTTATTCTGTGATATACTTTGAACACAACTAAAGAGTTACTTTTCGAGAAATAACAATTTTTTGCCTGGCAACTAAGCACTAGTATCACCATTACGTATAAGACATAACTGATAAACGCTGTAGTGCATACAAACTACATATTTCGTTCTTCAAATGCCATTTCGATAAACACTAAGCAGAACGGCCAGCACTTGAGTATCATAATCTTGTTGCAAACTAGCAGTACCTGCTCGCAGGAATCTGCTTTGTGCCCTTGAACAGTTTTGTATCAGTCTAACTACAAAAATTTGGTCTTATATAAACATCTGTTCTAGTTTTATGTATCTTAAAGAAGTAAAAATTTAAATAGAACGCTATTAGCAGCTAATTTTAAACTTCTTTGCTCGTTAAGATAGCTCAGCTAGACGGCCAAAAGGTTATATTCGGTAAAACATTTACACCACTTGCGATCCTTTGTCGGTTAATTTATTGATATTTTGTGAACGGTTCAGCATTTATGGATATTCTTTTGAGAATCAGAACTTTTAAAATCTTAAGTTTTGTTTTTTCTGTTGTTAAAGTTTCAAGAAAGATTGTTAGTACAAAATTTTGTCAAATTCAGTCAATTATTTTCAACTAGTTTTTAAGATTGAATGTGAGAGAAAAGCGAAGAAATAAAGTGATAAGAATATCATAAATTTTATTAAATTAGAATCATATTTCTGAATTTTTCTTGAACGTTATTGATGCCTCATGGTGTTGCTTTCTAAAATAGCAAACCGGAAATAAAAAGCAAGCTTGATACTATTAATCTTGTGTCAGAATAATCAGTTAAAAATAAAAAGTAAACTTCAAAAAAAAAAAACAAATACAAAGCGTATCTTAAATTTTTCTCATTTTTTTGTCTGTCTTATCTTCTGATAGTTACTCAAGATTTTGTTCACCAAAGTTTCGGATATAACTCCTCACAGTTTCTAAATTCCTCTGGATTATAAATGCCAGGAAGACAAATTCAAATGAAGGCGCAGGCTTGTTCAACATAAGCACAATCTACAAGCCTTTGTACAACCTGAAACTAACTTTGCGTAATACTGGTAATAAAGTATCATTTGAAATACTAAACTAGTTTTTGGCTGGTAACTACAACAACATTCAAATTTTTTACTTTTCAAATTCAAAAATATGTTGCTTTATCAAAGATCACCAGTTTTTGGTGAACTAAGAAATGAATAAAGCACTAACGTATTTTTTGTTTAACTGCTAAATAGCAAAATTTTGCCTGCTCAAGCAAACATCTGTAAAATTACACTTCAATTTTTCTTAGTGATGACGGTGATTTTGACAAATATACAGATATAATATTTACTATAATAATTCGAGAACAATTTGCAGACAGTTAACTACTGCCAGAGCGATATTATTGGCCGCGACCTGCCCAGTAAAAAATCTCTCTCCCTCTTTGCTGAAAAATGAAAATAAATCATATTTACCGCTCCTCATCTCTCTTTCGTCTATTTTTTTTATTTCTTCTACTGAAATTCCTCACTAAAAACAGAAAAACAAAGTGCGCAACAAAAAAGTTATTTTTTTATGAGCTGAGTGTAAAATGAATGCAAATTTTTGTTATAGCGTTTTCGCAAAAATTCTACTTTTCGGTATTTGAAGTCTTAAAAGCTGTTGTAAAGGTAAGCGAAATTTAAGACAACTATTTTGACCAACAGCAGTTTGTAATGCTATTTACAATAGCAACTCTTTACTTCAAATAACACTATTTATAAACTTTGGTTATAATACATTTTTTTCCTGGCTATCGTTGCTTCAACTTTCCTGTGAAAGAAGGGAAGTATAATGATTAAACTCGAGATACTGTTAAAGTTTTCAAAACCTTTATTATATATTCTGCTAAAGTGCATTTGTCTAAGATTTTGGCTCAGTTTATGAAACTGTTATTAATTCTATAAAAACAAAAAATTTGGAAGCAATTCTAAGCTAAAAAGAGAGATGCAGAAGTTTTTCAATAGCTGAATACAGACCGCTCTTCTGCGCCTCCTGATTATCACAAAGTTATTGAACATCAAAAAAATATCTAAAACTAGGAAAAAAGTTACTCTTTTCACCTGGAGATTTTGGACAGCCATAAAAAGATTGCAATATCACTGGCTTTTATTATCAAAGCAAAAAATTCAAATATCAAGGTTTGATCTTTTTCTTTACCATATTTAGACAGTAAGGTGAAAAGAACAAAAGATTTTACTAATAAAAAAGCAAGATTTATATCTTTTTCTCAATAAGTTACGTCTCTTTTTCAGAGAGATTTCTTTATCTTCTTTCTATTATACTTTTCAGCGTAATGACTGAGCTCTCCTTACTAATGCATTCTGATCACGTGTACTGTTCACGCCAAGCTTAAGTCAGTGAACTTCAGAGCTGTTGGGTACACTAGCAGAGTACTTGAATCTTGATACAGCAGTATAGGATATGATTCGGCCGTTCAATTCATCAACTGTAACTATATGCAGCTTCTAAAATAATTACTGTACCTCAATAACTGGTTGGCGCTTCAGACACTGTAATCCACTCGAATTTCAAGTCACCCAAAATCATAAAAGCGCAAAGCAGCAGTTTACAGCCCCAGGCGCCTTACTCAAAAGAAAATTCAATTTAACCAATACATCAATTTTAGCAAAGTTTGCATTAATATTTTTAGCATCAAACTACAACTTTGTTTCGCTGTAAAACATTACCTAGCTCACTTTTTTACCACAAAAAGGTCAAGATCAAAATCTAGACTCAGGCAGCTGCAAACTAATAGGTACTTTGGCAAAATGACAGCAGTATTTTGAGAGGGCAAAACCTGTTTTCAAAAAATATGTGACTTGCTTTTGCAGTTTTTTGACTTTGCAATTTTCAATCTTTAAAGCAATAAAACAGTTTTATAAACCAGCTTCCCAATTTTTCACCTGGTTTTGGCAAATTTAGGAAATACAGTTCCAACGTCAGGCACTAATACTTTATCACATAGATTTCTTACTTGTTTACCTGAAGTAAATTCTTTATCTTTTGGAGCAAAACAAAGTGACAGTCCTCTGTCTCCTGTTCTATTAACAGTTAGTTTTGAAAAAGCTAATTTTTTGCTGTAGACCTTGCAACTCTATGAC